TTTTTCAACTTTTGGCGAGAAACTTTCGCTTGCAATATTTTGCCATCAGAAAGAGAGGCACAACGGCGTATGCGCGTCCGTCTCCTGCAAGAATGACGGTCGCTTCCCGCAGTGCTTGGATAGAAAATGGCATACCATCGAGATTCACAGGTTTATCAGCGACCTCCGCGCTTCCCCGTGGCCGGTTGTTCGGAAGCGCCATCATTTGCGTACTGGATGTTACGACAATGTGAAATGCGGGACATTTTGAAGATTTCGGTATTTCTCGCGGGACGCGGGACATGAGCGCTCATTGCGGGACAGTCCCGCGAGTCGCGGGACGGGTGGTCACCCTAATCTCTAGAATTATACATTACTTTTAAGGCACGCAACAGGCCGCAGAATTAATAGTTCCCTGATCTACCATATAGTAGATTTAGCACAAAACTCAAAATGCAATGCTTTTCGCAAGGGAGACGTTTGGACCAGCACCCTTCAGTACAACAAATTACGGAACCCAAATGTTAATGCATCATCTCGTATCGTTATTCAATAATTTAGTAAAAGAAACAACACTACTTTAGAAACATCGACACGACGTTTCATCAACAATATGTTTATTTTAATCATTCATCCGATTGCATCTTTCTCTAATATAAAAATGATTGATTTTTTTTATCCGGTTGCGTGACTTTTTTTTACTTGTTTGTTTCCCTAAAATATATTTTGTTCGTTCCAGCGATTGCGTGTAAACATGAGTGCTTTGTATTTTTATCTCTGTAGTGATTGTGCTACTTCTGCGTATTTCTTCGATTAATTTTTTTTTGTTTCCGTCTACACGCCCTTGCCGATAAAATGGTGGGAGAGGCCTCGCCAAGCAAACAATTGTTAGCTTTTTGCCCTCCCCTCGTAGTTTATACTATTTTAAATTTGAAATTTAAATTGATATTACATACGCATTTATGATGCTGCTGACAACGTTAATTGTAAATTCTGACGGTTGTTTTCTAAATAAGTGGTCAGAGATAAAAAAACACACAAAAAACACAATGATTTGAATTATGAAGACCTGTTCGATTACGTTCGACAGATATGTCGCCTTGTGATGGAGTTGCTCCGAGTGCTTATTGCCCCAATTGTGCTTTGTTATTTTCAGCCTCTGTGACGCGGGAATTTCCCAGCTTGAAGCAAGATAAAACAGAAACGATCGAAAAAATTGACAAGAAAGGCACGCATACATAATTTGCGTTTTCGATGGAAGTGCACTCCTGCCAGACACAACGCCTGCTGATAGAAAGAGTATAGACAACACCTGATAAAAAAAGAGATATGGAGAAATTGATGATAAGTCATTCTTGTGGAACTGAGAGCAGACAGAAGACAATGGACTGGCATTTGTATGCAGAGGGCAGTTTTCCTTTTCTTGTTTTAGAGGGATCAGAATCAAAATAACCGAACTTGCATTAGGGTGTTTTGTCCTTGGTGGCAAGTTGCGTGCCATAGGGACCGCTAACAAAGGTGAAATCGGTCAATTACTTCGGTAAATAACTTAAAGCGCTGCAAAACCCAAGAATTCTGGGTTCAAACCCCGCCCCTGCCTATTTCTATTTGAATGAGCATCGTACCGGCTTGGGTTCATGCATCACTACTGCCTGGTACTTGTTAAAAACCCCAGGCTATCGGTGGTACCGCAGCGGCAAAATTTCTGAAATACAGCAGAGACAACAGATGCTCCTTTCGGGCTAACTTCCGGTTGTCTAAACATACACACAACACAGTTGTAATTACAATCATTAACTGAAAAGATTCAACTAATTGCTTACTTTTTATTTTTGGGAGCATAATTTAGTTGAAGAATTGACGCCCATCATCATTATAGTCTAGCCGTGACGTTAAATCGTGATTAAAATGTTTTGCCAAATTGCTAGGCAATTGTATTTCGTAGATGAAACGTTCTAGCGTCACAAACGTTTGACGATACTCTGAGTTTCTAGACGCCTACATTCACGGAGCACTTCGTTAGATAGTTTAACGCGTGCCATGTGTACCCTTGATAGTTGTTCCTAGAATGAAGCGATAATACCGCTAATCGGGTTGAGAAACATGGCGATCTTCCAGAGCTTCCCACACTCTCGAGCTCCTCTCCCTCAGTGCGTACAGGTGGTGGAGCTACTCCTCTTTTACCGCACTCTTCCTCACCTACCCCCCTGGTCACATGACTTCCCACTAACCAATCAGCTTCCAGCGCCTCACTCCTCCTCTCCCACCCGTCAACCAATCGGTATCGAGCCTCTCGTCCACGCTTTTATCCAGGCTTCACTTTTGGGCTCCACGAAATGCTGAACATTTAGCCCGAAAACATTTAACGTTAACAATTGGTAGTGGCCACTACGGGGCGTGAAATGTTGTCCTAACTCACGAGGCGGCTTTGCGTGCCAGTGACATCGTTTCCTCCGTTCTGCGTATGCTCCTCAGCCGACCTGTCCGCACCGCAGGTGGCGACAGCAATGCGACTCAAGCAAAGGAGGAATCGACGTCATGGCGCAATCCCTTCGCTCTATAGCCTCCGTCAGACCGGGGCCCAACTCGGGCGACAAAAAGCGGAAAAAGTGATCGGTAAATATCTGGAATCCAGCTGACATCCCGCAAGGCTGTTCAAGTTAGTGTAGCATCTCATAATGAATGCCTTTTAACTTGCTACAGTACACATGAAACTAATAATTAAAAAAACGTTAATGAACAGATATTAGTTAATTAGCCCATTTGTCGACACGGCTATTCCCTCATCTGATGTACACCGAGCTCGATAAATACACGGTGAAAATGACAGCCATCGAACTTCTATTTCCCAAAAAAATATTACGCTGCCAAACTTTTTTTTTTTAAAAATAGGTAACATCAACAAGCTCGCCCTTTCTTAAAAAGAATATGTTCGAATTAAGATGAAACACCACGTATATCTATTTACATGCGCTCTAGGGAGCAATCGGTATTTGAACTACAATTTTTGAACTATATATTTTGTTATTCATAATAAAAATATACGAAAAGAAACAAAAACGAGGACAAGAGGATGAATAGCACTCAGGAGAGGGCGTATATGTTTTGCCTGTGGTGGTTGTATTTTGAGCACTTATACGGTCGTATACGTGCGCAGTCTTGACAATCTTAATATGGTTCTGGAAATTAAAAGCGCGCAGAAAAGTTATTCAAACTCCGTTTTCATTTCTAAGTTAAGCTAATAGGTGTTCGAAGTTCAGAAGAAAAGCGCGCAGAATGTTATCAGGGTTAAATCTATTAATATATCCGGTTTTCAAATTTTGAATAATTCTGTAAATAATGTTTTTTTTTTATTTAGCAAATACTACAGGCCAAAGACTGGCCCAAGCAGGAGTGGAGAGAACAACAAGTAAAACACAAATAAGCCCTTTTTAAACCAAAAATAAAACACATTGATATACATATTCGAGGCATATATAAATAAATACAGTACAAGAGAGCGACCTGCAAAATACTTACATGCAAGATATTTATACAAAAAAAGTAAGCACATCTAAGAAAAATAACTATCAATGACATCACAAAAATCGGAAGCCTCATAAACGCTAGAAGGAAGAGAGTTCCATTTCGAGATGGTGCGGGGAAAGAACGAAAGTTTGAAACGATTAGTGCGTTCAAAAATTGGTGTTAATGAATATCGATTATGGTGCCTCGTAGGTTGTGTCATTAACGGGATGAGGTGACTATGTGTGCCAAGCTGTACATTGTTTCGTACCATACGAGATGAACATTTTAGTCTGGGGAGCGTCCTACGCAGCTCAAGTGTAGCTATGCCATTCGTTTTCATAAGGTGTGATGGAAAGTCTAATCTTTTTTAAAGTTTTCATAGATGAATCCAACCGGGCACCTTTGAACCATTTCCAGCTTTGAAATGTTATTTTTAGTGGAGGGATCCCAGACAAGGCTGGCATATTCCAGTTTCTATCGCACAAAAGTGTTATAAGTTAAAAGTCTGACACTAGATGAAACCAAGTTTACGGAATGGACCTGTAACATGGATCTGTAACTTGAAACACATAGTAGGTATCATAGCCTGTGCGTTTTGTTAGGGTAGATGGATGTATTTATGAGTGACTGAGAACGTCTATTACATCTTGATATATAGCTATTACATAGAGATCAGCAGATCACCTACGCAAAAACTAGATTGGAAATATATTTTTTCCTTTTTTTTTTTTGTAAGTGTGATATTTCGCAACTTTGCAGCGTCTAAGTTTGCGAAAATATATAATTACACTTCGAACGAGCCATGATACTTAACATAAAGTGCTGGAATTGCCGATACTCTACAACTGTCTGTTTAGATCACGGCGGTAGTTAAAGCATACAATGCTACTTTTTGGTTTTCTAAAAACCCTATAGCAGCGATATGTGATCGATGTTTTTTTCATGCCTATTACTCTGCTCGACCTTTGACGCTTAAATGGCTGTAAAAATCTAATTACTTAAGTCAAAGTAGTTCCAAGTCACCAAGACGTACTAAGTCCACGCTATAGTATTGACGTATCCACAGTTGTCCTGCAAGCGCACGCACCTACCGCACTAAAGGTGCGAGGATGGAGCGCTCTTGAATCGAGCCGAATGCGCCAAGGGAATTGTAGATGAGATCTGCACGCGTCTAGTACTGTTACCTACTGCTGAGAAACAACGCCTACTAACCATTAGTGAACGTGTTTACTTTCAAAATGGACCCCTTGTATTGATAGCACGGCGGTGAAAGTTGCCGCCTTATCGTGCAATTTCCCTATCTCCAATTGGCATTCAACTGGAGTTGGAACGCAGCAAAACACAGCGCTTATATAAGTAAAGGATATGGCGCCATCGTTCTTCTTTAGTGGGGCTTGACGATCGGTCCGCACGTACTACCTCTTTTACCCTTCGAATTCGACGGCATCGAGCATTAGTTTACCATTTTTGACAATTTTTAGTTGCGTGCTATTTCATTGAATATTCTTAATTCGCTACCTTCTAACGAGAACACAATGCCTACGGTGCTTGTGGTTTCATCGCTTCTGGTGACCGTCGTCGCGAATACGGTCATCGTGAGTGGCGGCGACATGTGCGGTCCCGAAACGTGCAAGGCCCGCGACAACTGCCTTTGCGCGACCACTCGGCCTCCGAACAACTTGACAGTGACGGAGATGCCGCAGTTTGTAACGCTCTCCTTCGACGGCGCCGTCAACTGGGGCAACATGCCGTTCTACCGCGACCTGTTGGCGCCCACGAAGAGGAAGAACAAGCGCAGCGGCTGCAATATCGGAGCCACCTTCTTTGTGAGCCACGAGTACGTCGACTACCCGTCCGTCCACGAGCTACATCACAACGGCCACGAGATTGCGTTGCGCTCCATATCGTACGTGCTGTTTAAATTATTGGGCTTTACAGGTAATATGCCGGGTGTTTTTGTGGAATGCGTTCAACCATCCCTAAACATAGGGCGTTTTAGATTTTTTTTTTATACAGTGTGATTTAAGTTACCAGACTCATTCTAAAATGGACCGTAAAATTCGACGCCAGCACGTAGCAATCGAAAGCTTTCTTCAAAGGTGTATTTCACCACATCCGTTTGTTCTTGCAGAGTTAGAAAGCGGAGCTCCCTTTCTGTGAAAAATAGGGCCACAAAACTTGCCAGAGTCAACGGCGGGCAGCGACGCAGACGACCAGCTGGAGTTGCGGGGCGCGTGTGGCGCGCGTATTGATAGACTTCGCTACTTCTTTATCGAGGCGGCTCGCGACCAGCGTGGTTTATTAAAATGAACATAATCTTTTTGTTATGTGCCTTCGGTTAAAAAAATATTTCAAACAATAAAAGCAAAATCTAAAGTAAGAAAACAAAAACGTGCCTGCATAACGACAACGCTTTTGCTGCCAACGGATTACGTCTGCGTGTCGTCCGCTTTCTTTCGCTGGTCGGCTGCACCTTCCGACGCTGCTCTCGACGCCCCATCTATCAATACGCTCGCAAAACGCGCCCCGCAACTCGACTTCGTCCTCTATGTCGCCGCCCGCCGTAGACCCTGAGAAGTTTCTTGGCTCTATTTTGTAGAGAAAGGGTGCTATAGTTTGTAATTTTACATGAAAAAACCGACAGGTCAAATACACCTTTGACGAAAAGTTTAGATTGCTACGTGATGGCGTCGATTTTTACGGTCCAATTGAGACCGAGCCTGGTGATTTGATTCACCCTTTATTTTTTTCGGAAACAGATTGCCAACCGGGGCGGACGCCAGGCATTGTAAAAGAACACACTAATTATTAAAATATATTTTTTAATTGACAATGCAACTTTTTAGTGATTGAAAAGAAACACACCCTTTATGTTCTTTATGTTAGAAAACTTGGTGAGCGCCATCGAAAACCCCTAAATCAGCAAATTTTAGGACGACTTGAAACACGTGCGAAGCGTGGGGCTGCACGAGGTTAACACTCGTGCAACAGGCGCAAGGCCGGCGATACTGAAAACGCAAATGATAAGAATTTGATCCACGTTTTCGCATTGGCAGCCTTGTGCCTGCTGCGCGATGGGTAACTTTAGCGGACTCGTGAAATTTTTATCGGAAGTATGCTTGTCTCTTGGTGGGCGCTAACGAATTCGCGTGAGAGGAAATATCCAATCTGAAAGGCAATGTTATTGTAGCAAGGTCTGGAATAAACTAGATTTTTTTTTTTTTAAAGTGCGTAACATATTTGTAAAAATAAAACTGAATCGGATGGTAATCAGAACGTTACCTATTTTTGCTGATTGATTGGTATTTCTTATTGAAATACTTTTGTCTGTATGTAGGCATAATTTTTGAGGTCCCATAAACCTTTCTTCGACCCCACATATATTACGTTTTTTAACAAACATCGCTCCTCCTCATCCGATGAGACTTTTATCGTGTAAATTATATTGTGTCTTTCGACATTGCATTGTTAAACACTATTCAGCCTTTGGTGACTGAGGCATTTAGCGGTTCAATTTCGCAGTTTAAACATTACATTTGGCGATTTTCAGGGTTGCCTAACAAAGGGTGCTGCCATGTAGGGGGTGGCTGGGTCTTTAGTGTTTTTTTAGAATCATGCTTTTTGTAGTTTTTGAATGGTTAGTCATAAATAGCTTACGTTTCATATTAAGTGAGTCATTTAGTCATAATGTTTGCGTACTTCGAAAAACTGCTATCACTGACAGTGACACTCCCGACGCAATTGATACATTAAAACTGCAGATACTCCTTATATGGAATAGTATATGCCTATATGAATTGAAAACAAATCCCAACCAGGCCTTCGAAAATTTTTAACACTAAACTTGTTTTGACCGAAAACTTTCATAACATTATTGCAGGAACAGAAATTAGATGTAGGCTTGTGGTGTATCAGGCGCGTGTCTGAATGTCTTACCCGTTGTGGCGCCGTTAGAGTTACTGCCTTGAACGTGAAGATCAATAATTTTTGTCATATTGTCGCGCGACAATTGCAAATTTTCTGACGTTAAGGTAACACATAAATCTAACTTCCGATCCACTTACCGTTACATGGCGTAAACGCATTTTTTTGTTTTTCTAAGTTACGTTGATGCGTCCATTTTTTGCGTAGATATTCGCAGCTTCGTAAAACCATAGTGCCCAACTGATTCAACCCTAATAGCTGCCACGTGAGCATCTTGTACAAGCTAATATGTATCAAATCGTTCGTAGCATCCCCAACGAATCATGCAGCTATAGAAGCTTAAAAATTCAAAGCACCGGCACCAAAACACATCCAGGCAGAATATGAGCGACAGCACTCGATTTGGCCTTTTTTTATGACTGCAGTTTCCAGAAACCACATTATCTATCCATTTGCTAAATTGTTCAAAGACTGAAACCTATACTTTCTACACATGGTTTGAACCAGAGCGTCTTCAAAGTCTGGCATATGGTCCTAACAAGCATAGCGAGCTATGCGCGCTCATGCTGATCACGATAGCACATACCTGTACGTTGAGTTTGAGAGAACGTTGTGTGTACATACGTGCTTCAAGTTAAACCTGAATCCATAGAGCTGACTATCAGCAATCCTCGATGCCTTACAGGGACTCAACCTTCCTTGACTACTGGAAGAACCTGAGCTCGGAAGGCTGGAAGGACGAAATCTTCAGTCAGCGCGCGCTGATAGCCAAATTGGCAGACGTTCCTGCCTCCGACATCGTCGGCATGCGAGCACCGCTACTGGTAACCGGTGGCGACAACAGCTATCGGATGATCAACGAGACGGAGTTGAAGTACGATTCGTCGCTACCTCACCTACGGATCAGGGGCCATCAAGACCCGGTCTTCCCTTACACGCTCGACTACGGTCCACAGACGGCCTGCGTGATTCCTCCCTGTCCCGAACTAAGGTATAAGGGACTCTGGACGATCCCGATGAACGTGCTCTTCAGGAAGCGGAAGGCCGATGGGAAGCTTCGCGAGTTTCCTTGTTCGACGGTTGAAGGCTGCGTTCCATTGCCTGAGACCAAAGGGGACACGTTCGACTACCTTCAGTAAGCTTACTGTTTTAATGGCGCAACATTAGCGAGTTTTTTGGTGGATCGTTCTCGCTGTTTCTCAACGCTTTCCGCAACGGGGTGCGAGATCCGGAGTTTTGCCGACGACGCTAGCGGCACGCATGCGCACTAGCTGCGTGTTCGTTGCAAGGAGCGTAGCGGAGGGTGAAAAGTGGTCCATGAAACCTTTCTATTCGCGAGTTTTACAATCCCCTGCCCAAAAACTTCGACGCTACGAAATTGCGTCGTCTCCACTGCGCAGATCCACAACGCGAAGTCGGCTCGGCGCACGTGCCGGGGCGACGACGCTTTTTCTTTGCGCATGCAAAGCGTTTTAGTGCTCATCTTTAAAACTCGCTATTTTATCGCGGTCTTCATTGGAGATTTAATTTTTGAAGTGGCGACATAAAACAATACCTGATAGGAAACATCAGGATCCCTTTGTGTGGTTACACATCTTAGAACAGAGGGGTTATTTAGAACTGAAATCATGCTAAACATGCTGTGAAATAGTTTCATTTAGGGCTAAATTGGACGATTAAGCTAAGAAAGTGTAGCAAAAGAACTTAATGTTTTAGAGCGCAGCTCTTAGGGGCCCGTCTCCGGCCCGTCTCCGGCTCGTCGCCGTCGGCGTAACCGCGAGGTCACGTGACCCCCCCCCCCCGAGGTCACGTGACCCACCCAGGTCACGTGACACCCCTAGGTCACGTGACCCCCTGGTCACGTGACTTCTGGGGGTTTCGTGACCTTAGGGGGTCACGTGACCCACCCAGGTCACGTGACACCCCTAGGTCACGTGACCCCCTGAAGTCACGTGACCCCCTTGAGGTCACGTGACCCCCCTAAGGTCGTTGGCCCTTCAGGTCATGTGACCCCTGAGGTCACGGGACCTCAAGGAGTCACCTATCCCTCAGTACGCTTCCATCTTCCTCCTCAAGAGCTGCGCTCTAACCGGCGTTACAGGGAATTGTAAACAGCTTTCATTTTTTTTTTAGTTTTTTTTTTATGAGGCCGAGCTCAAGGGGCAAAAAACAACGGACGCAAGGAAGAAAACCCACACGCGGGCACCTGTGGGTGTGTGTCTTCTTCCTTGTGTTCGTATATTTTACGCCTTGCACCATGCTTCATCCCGTTCACCAGCTAGCTCAATTCGAAGTTATTCTACAGTAACCTTTTCTATTTATTTTTATTGGGAATGAATTTTTTTTTTGCGTCTGCCAGAATACTGATATATTTGGCATATTTATATTCTTGTTTTTGTTAAGAACCCACAAAAATTTGTAGCCGTTCTCAGGAGTTATCATCCTTTTGAAATAGAATGCGATGTCTTCTTTTAGGGCGCTTTAAAAGGGGTGAACATCAAAGCAAAATTTCTTGAGCGTATTTCCAGCGAAAATATCGCCTCGGTCAGCGTACACGAGGAAAGGTGAATGCCAGGTGTTTTTATTTCTGTACTCCTATCACCTCAAACACGCACGTTCTGTTTTGTACAAAGCTGGGAGTCCGTGTTCAATGATTGTCTACGCAGGACCCCGTATAAAATTAAATTATTGTGGATATAGAGCTGGAGTGTTTTCTGCTTTGCGTTTTGAAGTGTTTGTCGCCAAAGAGACCCATATCTGGCGGCGCTCGAAGAAACGGGAAGTAGCTTGACAAACCAAAATCCATTTGTTTTGTTGTGGTATTATGCCGGTACAGTCGGCCACAAAAGTTTACGAACCATGCACATCACTGCGCTACATTGCGGCGCGTCGTCTGTTGTCAAGACCCGTGACTCGCGCATGTGCATCATTTTGTAGTTGCAGCCACGTTAAAGGGGCCCTGCAATCATATTTAAGCGTCTTTTTTGCGGTTTCCACGTCTCTTGGGGTTGGGGCAAGCCAGCGAGCACGGAGAGAGTAACTAGATATCAGTGCGTCATATTTTAACCGGACGACGCGGAAACCTCCTCCACCGACGAGGGCGACCCGCGGTACCGAAGGCGCGCAAAATGTGACGTCTTTGGTCCTGGGCTTGCCACTGGTCAAAGCCGCAAAGAGCTTTTTTTTAGTCGAGATACAAAATATAACTGCCGCGAACCGTTTCAATTATGTATGAAAGTAGTTTTTGTTCACTATTTTAGATCAGAAAAGAAACAAATGCAGTTTAGAAAGTACGGAAACGAGAAATGACCCGTCGACATACCCGCCACCAAGCGGTGGAAAAAAACGACGCATACTAGAAAAGGCTAGTGGGATGATGCTACGACAAACGAGGAGCGTAGAAAGGTCCCGGATGTACGCGGCGGCGCTGTGGTCGTATACCGGCTCAAGAATCCGACCGGTTCCGAGCGTTCCGAAGGCCTTCGGCGCGGGCCCTGCTGGCGATTTGGCCATTTGGCGGTGCGTCAGCGCGAAGTGGCTTCCGTTCTGAACTGATCTTTACCCCATGTTTGCTGTCGTTTGTGGCCAATGAAATGTTATGCCGAATTACTGTTTAGTCGCGCTGCAAATGAAATACGAGCTGCCCTGGCCGCCCGCTTCATACAGCCTATCCAACACGTGCTTTAGTGGCGCCCTCTCGAGCCGTCGACATGGAGTGCGGCAGCCGTGTGCGCTCGATGAGCTCACTACTCCTCCTCTAGTTCAAGGCCACTCAAGCCAGGACCTACGACGTCATGAAGGAGGTTATTTTTTGCTTGTTTTTATAATTCTAATTTGCCTATAACTTTTAAAATAAAGCGAAATTTGAGAAAAGAAAAGTTGGATTAGGTTACTGCGTTCAGTACGCTCAGGTTCAGTGCAAATTAAAAACCAGTCAAAAAGTCATTGCAGGGGCCCTTTAACCTTCCCGCTTCCGGCCGACGCCTCTCACGAATTCGGCGCCGGGCGCGGCTTCTGTTGCCGCTGTTTGCCGCCGTGCTGCAGCTGTACCTAGGTGGCGCGATGATTGGCAGAAGCTGGGATATTAACTCCAGCTTCCGCCGTCCGTACGGCATAAGATCGCTTTTCCTCAGCTCAGCAAACAAAATGACAGCCATTATGTTTTTATATTTCTGTTTTAAAAGATTTTTTTTGAGATCCTTTAATATTTTATTAATTAAGGTGTGCAATATATCAGAAATTACGCTTTCTGAATTTCTTGTTGTCGCTGACTGGTTGACAGAGCAGCAAGTGCAGACAAAATTAAGACTTTTTAAACAAAACAAAAAAAGTAGAGGCAGAATGGTTGTTTTCCTGGCCGCTGAGTTGGGAAAAAGAATACCATGGCGGGCGGCTGGAGACGGAGATGATATTGCCACGCGCGTCGCCGAGCTAGCGCGTGCGTTGCCGAACGGTTACAGTACTTGGTTTTCGCGCGGAGGCCCCGGGCTCGATTCCTCGGAGCGGGAGATTCTTTTATTTATTCTTTTAATTTAGCATTCTCGTAAGTTCGAGGACCTTGTCGTCTGACAGAGGTACGAATATTCTACGCGCCGAATGTTCCGGAAACCTAAGTGGGTACAAAAGGTGCTCCTCGTAACGGTACGAGGTCAGTCTCGCCCCAGCGCTCAATCGTGCTGTTTTTCTTCGACGTCGACGCCAGCGACGCTAACCTTCTTTTATTTTGTTTTGGGCAAAAGTTCGCCCAATGAAACATTTAGTTTCAAAAGTTGTTCTCCACCTCATCATTCGTCATTCGCGACATCCATAGCACACGTCTCGCGCTGAATCTTTACTTGGAGAGTGCACCTTCCGACGGGCGTAATAAGGTGTCCTCCGGCGGTTCGAACTTGTGGTTCACCCAAGGCGTCGTACCTTTTCTCAGGCGGCGAGAGAGCCTCCCACTCAAGACTGAGTAGTCTTCTGCGGTGTCCACAAGTGCCGATGCGTCGTGGCCGTCGATAACAACGATTAGGTTGTTGAGCCCCGTTGCCGGGACGTCGTTGCGATGCGTGGAAGCGCTACGGCGGTCTTGGAAATGCTTTACTTTGGTCATCATCGGCAACGCCACCTCCAGGCTTTGCTGCACTTAGTTTTCCCGGCGACGCAGGGGAGACAGGCTCTCTCGGCGCGGTCGTGGTGCTGAAGACGGGGAACGTAGTGGCGAAGGTGAGCGAGATTTACGGCGAAGAGACGGCGCTGGGGATGACAAGTGTCGGAGGTACTCCTCGACGTCGCGAGAACGTTCGCCGTACCTTGGGCGCGGGTCGTTCGGGTGGAACATGCGCAGCCCCAATTGTCGGTAAAGGCATCGACGGTACACTCTAAGCCCGGTCCCACTTAGTAAGAGGGACATTTCGATTTTTTCCCACTTAACTTTAAGGGGGGCGACAGACCTCTTAATATTACATGGAGATGCTCCCTCTTAATTAAGTGAGACACCACCCCTCTTAAAGTAAGCGAGGCGGCGTCTCCCTTAAATTTGAGGTCAGAGTCCCTTAGTCAGAGGGACAGTTTTTAGATATTTTCTTTCTTAAATTCGGAGGGACGGTGGCCCGCTTAAAATGCAGGGGTATAGTCCCCCTTAAGTCGGGGTCACGCTGCTTATACATCATACAAAATACATTCTGCAGACATGTTCCGAAACGAGTCGCCTCGACAACCGCGCTTCGTACGCCACGAGGTAACCAATCAAGAGGTTACTTTGTCAGGTGGCCTACAAAGCACGGATGTCGCGGTGACTCGCATTGGAACATGTCTGCAGAATGTATTTTGTATGATGTATAAGCAGCGTGACCCCGGCTTTAAGTTACCTCTGTTATTGTATCGCACAATTTCTGCTCCTTCGTGTTTCGAGTGTCAGCTGACATGCTGCACTGCACTTCTCGCACTTTCGCTGACATTGTTTAACCAAAGTTATTCTGTGCTGCGTAGCAGAATTGAAATTTGATCTGTATATCTTGTTTGATAAACGGAATCAATGTGTTAAAGAAAACAGTAACAATCTTCAAGAGTAAACACTGTTTTATTTGCCATGACACAAGAAAATATTTTGATATGTCTTTATCAAAATAATAATTCTATAAAGATGTTCTG